AGCATAAGCTCTGCATTAGTGTTACCTTCTTGTTAGTGTTAGCATTAGCTCCACATCAGTGTTAGCTTCTTGTTAGTGTTAGCATTAGCTCTGCATTAGTGTTACCTTCTTGTTAGTGTTACCATTAGCTCCACATTAGTGTTAGCTTCTTGTTAGTGTTAGCATTAGCTCTGCATTAGTGTTAGCTTCTTGATAGTGTTAGCATTAGCTCCACATTAGTGTTAGCTCCCTTATTAGTGTTAGCATTAGCTCCACATTAGTGTTAGCTCCTTATTAGTGTTAGCATTAGCTCCGCATTAGTGTTAGCTCCTTATTAGTGTTAGCATTAGCTCTGCATTAGTGTTAGCTTCTTGTTAGTGTTAGCATTAGCTCTGCATTAGTGTTAGCTGTGCATTAGTGTTAGCATTAGCTCCACATTAGTGTTAGCTCCGCATTAGTGTTAGCATTAGCTCCACATTTAGTGTTAGCTCCGCAGTGTTGGGATTAACTCAACTTTAGTGCTAGCTCCATGTTAGTATTTGACCTGTTAGCATTAGCTCTGCATTAGTGTTAGCTCCTTATTAGTGTTAACGTTAGCTCCACATTAGTGTTAGCTTCTTGTTAGTGTTAGCGTTAGCTCTGCGTTAGTGTTAGCTGTGCATTAGTGTTAGCATTAGCTCCACATTTAGCACTAGCTCCGCAGTGTTGGGATTAACTCAACTTTTGTGCTAGCTCCATGTTAGTACTTGCCCTGTGTTAGCATTAGCTCTGAGTTAGCATTAGTTAATGTCACAATGTTAGGGTTAGCTCCACATTAGTATTAGCATTAGCTCAGCATCGGCATTAGCTCCATGTTAGCATTAGCTAATGTGTTTAATTTCCCTTATTTTTGATTTGAATTGAACTGAATTAGCATTAGCTCCATGTTAGCATTAGCTAATGTGTTTAATTTCCCTTNTAGCTCCATGTTAGCATTAGCTAATGTGTTTAATTTCCCTTTGGGATGAATAAAGTATTTTTGATTTGAATTGAACTGAATTAGCATTAGCTCCACATTAGCAGTAGCACAGAAACACAGTGGCTTTTGTTAGTGACTAATCACGGGTGTTGCCAAATGCTGAATATTAAATCAGTGACAGTTTTTCTGGTGAAACGATTTTGGCCAACCCAACATTAAACGGAGCGAAACTTTGCGTTAACCTTCAGAAAACAGGTCACGTGACCCAACGAGTCACGCTGGAGCAACTGAAGGAGAACAGCCGAAACCCCGAGCAGCAGGACTTCAGCCAGATCCTTTCCAACACTGCTGGCTCCAGGTCTCTGGGTGGGACACATGTGGCGCCCCTCCCTTCTCAGGATTCAAAAACATTTCATTCCTGGATCAGTGTTTGTGGTGACAGAACACAAAACAAACGAGATTCAAGAGTAACAAGAAAAACTGCATTTTTTTTTTTTTTGTTGAATGACTGCTGAAAAAGCTGAAACCGGTCTGCTGAAGCTAAAATAAACACGTTAGAAGCTAAAACAAGAAAAAACACTAGAAAACAGTTGTTGCTGAAAACTGAGGCAAAATGTTTTGATGAGTTAAAGAGAAAAATGTGGCGTTCAAGGCCGGCTCGTTCCTCTCAGCGCTGACTCAGTTGGACTGGAACAATGAGAATATTTTAATATATATTTTTTGTTTATTTACCGTTTGAGCTGTATAACCTTTGCTCCAACAAAAACTGCTTGATTTAGACCAATAAAAACAACTTTTTAAACAAACTGTTAGTTCCTGTTTTGACACTATCTATATTTAAAAAAAATAAACTTTTTTCCCTCATTTTTTTACCAACAAAACAATATAAAATATACTGC